TATGGAATCTCAAAGATTGAGATAACTGCAGTGTCCAAAATGAAGCTGCAGGAAACCGAAGACTGTTCCTTAGGACCACATTCTCAAACAACCAAGAGCTGCATCCCACAACTGAAGCACCTGGAGTGATCAGTCTAAGCACAATAATGGAAGGTGCATGCTGATAAGTATATAGCTTTAAGGAAAGTAAAGCAGGGCTGATCTTAAAGGGCCGGAGGAACCTGGGAACTAGTTTTGTGGGCAAACTTCAAGTAGGAACTCTCCCCTTGGGCAGACATCTAGGAACTACATTCCTAGGCAAAATTATAGGAACTACATTGATGTGCAAACTAATAGGAACAATCCTCCTGAGCAAACTTCTAGGAGCTACCTTCATGGGCAAATTTCTAGGAACTATCCTCTTGGGCAAACTTCCTGGAAGTACCTTCCTGGGAAAACTTCTGAGAACTACATTCATGGGAAAACTTCTAAGAATTACCACACAGGGAAAACACCAAGGAACTATCTTGTGCAAATATCAAGGAACTACTCCTGGAAAAACTTCTGAAAACTGCCTTCATGGGCAAACTTCTAGGAACTATCCTCCTGGCCAAACATCTAGGAACTACTCTCCTGGGCAAACATCAAGGAACTATCTTCCTGGGCAAACATCTAGGAGCTACCCTCCTTGGCAAACATGAACGAACTACCTTACAAGCCAAAATTCTAGGAACTATACTGATGGAAAAACTTCTAGGAACTATCCTCCTGGGGAAACTTCTAGTAACTATCCTCCTGGGCAAACATCTATGAACTACCCTCCTGGGCAAACATTAAGGAACTACCTTCCTGGGTAAAATTCCAGGAACTACCCTCCTGGGCAAACTTCTGGGAACTGCCCTCCTGGGCAAACTTCTGGGAACTACCTTAATGGGCAGACTTCTGGGAACTACATTCTTAGGCAAATTTCTAGTAACTATACTTTTGTGAAAACATCTAGGAACTACTCTACAGGGCAAACATCAAGGAACTACCTTCCTCGGCAAACTTCTAGAAAATACCGTCCTGGGCAAAACTCTGAAAACTGCCTTCATGGGCAAAATTCTAGGAACTATCCTCCTGGGCAAACATCAATGAACTGCCTTCCTGGGCAAAATTCTAGGAACTACACTGATGGGCAAAGTTCTAGGAACAATCCTCTTGGGCACACTTCTAGGAACTGCCCTCCTGGGGAAACTACTACAAACTACCCTCCTTCACAGACGTCTGAAAACTATCATCATGGGCAAATTTCTAGGAACTATCCTCCTGGGCAAAAGTCCAGGAACTACCATTCTGGATAAACATCAAGGAACTATCTTCCTGGGCAATATTCCAGGGACTAATTGATGGGCAAACTTCTAGGAACTATCCTCCTATGGAAAAACTTTTGGGAACTACCTTCCTGGGCAAACTTCTAGGAACAATCCTCCTTGGCCAAACTTCTGGGAACTACCTTTCGGGGTAAACTTCTTGGAGCTACCTTTATAGGTGAACTTCTTGGAACTTTGTTCCTGTGCAAACTTCTTGAGCTACCTTCATGGGTAAACCTCAACAAACTACCTTCCTGGGCAAACCTTTAGGAACTATGTTCCTGGGCAAACTTCTAGGAATCTTTTCCTAGTCAAACTTCTGGGAACAATCCTCCTCAGCAAACTTCTAGGAACTACCTTCCTGTGCAAACTTCTAGGAACTACCCTCCTGGGCAAAGTTCTGGGAACCACCTTCCTGGGCAAATTTCTACAAAGTATCCTCCTGGGCCCACTTCTTAGAATCGGCCTTTAGGGGAATGTTTTTGGGAAGAAAGCCAAACTTTTGACCACCAGAGTGAAGGAGAGAAGAGGTTGGTTTGGGTTCCTTTTATTCAGAGTGGAGGTGCATGGAAAGCAGGCCTTTGTGTAGTTAAAGACATTTTTGCAAAGGGAGGAAATGACAATGTACTGAAGGTGAGATTCTGGAAACAGCTGGAAGAATAAATGGCCTGTAGTAATTCCAATGTTTATTAGTCTCCTAAAAGAAACCACCCTGTTGAAACCTCACAAAACTTTGATCAAAGTTAGTATCTAAATGGTAGCTAATCATGGTGGGCATATTCTGGGCTCTGGAGAAGGGGAAGCTTTTCTGGCTTTGATTCACTGGCCCACCTTTAGGTGTTGGAATGCATTTAGACATTTAGGCTTTAGGTCAAGAGAGGTGGGGTGCACAACTAGCCTCCCCCCTGTTTTCAAATAGTTCACTAGGCAACAACACCAGTTTAACACTGTGAGGGGTTAGGGTTTGGCTGTATGGGTGGTGCCTGTAATCTTCTACTGGAACATCCTAGTCCCCAAGTACAGGTGGGGCCTAGGACAATCCTGTTCTCTTCCCCCTTCTCATGCTCTTCGCAGAGGGCTCTAAATGGTGGTGCATTGATGGTTCTCCGGGTGTGGGTTTTTTGGTGGCTGTTATCTCATTCCTTGCGGATGGTCGGGTTGGAGTTACAGTATATCTTCTGAATTGTTAGCTGTTTTGCATTCTTTTCTCTGCTCCATCTTTTATTTCTCTATCTCCCATTAATTATTATTCTATCTGTCTTTCCATCACTCGATTTCATTTCTTAAATAGTTTTTATTAACTTCCATATCTAAGTATTAAGCAGAACATAATGGTCTGCTTTGGCTGTTGGGCTATCATCTAGCTCTGGCACGTCCATTCCGGGAGCTACTCCCGGAGCTGGCAAACAGGACACAGATAATATTAAACTCCTTCTAGGAATTTTCAAATATCAGCTTGAAAACTAGTTCAATATGCAGTCAAGGTATGTGGGTGTAAAAGCTGTTAAAAATGGTACATTTTTGGTCACGTTGAAGGGATTTAGCCTGGCCTTGACATTGGACTACTTATCAGAGAAAGATGAAATGCATTAACATTTGCAGAAAAAGACCAAATGTAGACAAAATGACACTTTTCCAAGAAGTTCTATGTCTGAATGTCTCATCAGCTTTGGAAGGTCAGCATCTCTGTCTGAGCCTGGTTCTGCTGGAGGTTTCTTCCTGTCAAAAGTTTTTCCTCTCCACTGTCGATGCAAGCATGCTTGGTGTGAGGGATTGCTGAAGAGTCAATGAGTTGATGCAATCAACAGGTTTTCCTTAAATAGAGAACTTTGAATCAATCTGACTGGATGAACTGGTGAACTGTAAAGTGCCTTGAGATGACATGATGTGAATTGGCGCTATAGAAATGAACTGAATTGAATTAAGAGAGGGTTACCATCTGGCTGATGGTTGAGAATCCCTGCTTGAACAAAGATTTAACAATAAATTGTTGTCCTATGAATCAGATAAATAATAATTTCTAAAAATAGAATGGGAGGCAGATCTTTTAGTTATCAGGCTCCTCTCCTGTGGAACCAACTACCAGTTTTAGTCCGTGAGGCAGACACCCTGTCTACTTTTAAGGCTAGGCTTAAAACTTTCCTTTTTGATAAAGCTTCTAGTTAGAGTGGCTCAGGTTATCCTGAGCTATCTCTATAGTTATGCTGCTATAGGCTTAGACTGCTGGAGGACATAGGGACCCCTTTTTCATCATTCTTCATTCTATCTCTATTCTCCCACTCTGCAGAATCTGTTAGTTCAATCTCTAACGTTCTGCTCTCTCTGCTTTTTCTCATAGTAGCTTCATCTGGTCTGTTCCTGTTTGGCTGTGACTCCATCCTGGAGAGAAATATCAGCTGTGCTGCTGCCATCAACACCTTTGTTTGTAGATGTTGGAGACTGGGCTGTTTTCCAGTGTAGTCCTGTTTCTCTGACTGTGACTAACTGGATGTGCTCTCTTCATCCTCTGACATGGGAGCTGGCTCAAAGCTGGTCTGCCAGGCTGTGTGTTTCCTGGACAGGGCCACCTTTTACAGCTGCTTTTTTTTATGTCTGCTTCTGTCTCCTTGAACCCCAGTTGGCCTCAGCAGATGGCTGCTCAAACTGAGCCTGGTTCTGCTGGAGGTTTCTCCCTGTTCAAAGGGAGTTTCCTCTCCACTGTTGCTACAAGCATGCGTAGTGTGAGGGATTACTGAAGAGTCAATGTAATCAATTGGTTTTCCTGAGATAGACAACTTTGAATCAAATTGACTGTATGATCTGGTGAACTGTAAAGTGCCTTGAGATGACACGTGCTGTGAATTATCGCTATATAATTAATTGAATTGAATTGAAATAAATAAAGCAGGCGATAGGATGTTATGCTGCTGATGGTCTGGCTTTATTTGTTGCTTTACTTGCTGTATTTTATGTGTAAATGTGTTCTTTGTTGTTATGGATCAGCTTTTATCGAGTAAAAATGTTTATTTGGTCTTCAGGTGGTTTTTATTTTGTACTTAGTGTATAATGTCAAATATTTAAAGAGTGTCTGGTAGAGGGTCTACAGGTGAATTCAAATCAAGTCCAGAGTGCAGCATGGCGCCCCCATGCTGGTAACATCTTGGGGCTCATAGAGACCCCCAAGATACAAATGCCCTTATTAGTATTAAGGATCTACAAACATCTACAAGCCAGTATTGGGTTGAAGTATCCTAAATGAATCTATAAACCCTTTTTATTTCCAGGACTTTACTAAGATAATCTGAACTGGGAAGGTGAATCTGATCAGCTGTTCCTTTCTGCAGCTATATCTATATAGATAGAGACGCAGCTTGGATGTTGTTATTTAACCGTGATCCTGCAGGATGAGTTATTGAAAGTAGTGATAAACTGCAGAGTAAAGTTCTAAACATGTTGCATGACCAGAGAAACGTTTTTATCTCCCAGAGCTGCATTAACAAAACAACATCTTTCCTTTATTTCTCAGTCTTTGTTCACTATTTGGGCAGATTAGGAGGTACTAATTAACTACCCAATCAGGCACTGAGGGACCTCTGGGGAATCCGTGAAGTTTGAAATGTCCAGATCTGGTCTTTGTTCTACCCACTGGAAGTAAATGTGGGTAGACCTAAATGCCTGACTTTGACTGACCTTTGTAGCAGACGAATGGCCGTAGTTCATCACAGCCCAACTCCTCCCACTGGCCAGAATTTCCCAGGTTTGCTATCGCACACAGCTTATCAGCTGCGCTGGGTTCCCCGGAGCCCCAGTGACGAAATGAGGACTGGCTTCCATCGACCCAGATCCAGAGGAATTTGTGGAGACCAATCCATGTTTTCTGTCCTGCTGGTATCAACTTCTTAACCTTCTGGTTCTCCTCTATGTTCCTCACATAGGCCAGGCCAGTGTAATGTTCACTACAGTAGCTCTGAGCCTCGGTCCAGTTCATCTCAAGACTGATGTAGACAAACTTCACATCCGTACCTGAAACAAGGACTTTGTTCAGTAAATAATATAAATAAATATATACTCTTACAATTTACATTAAAGCAATAGTTTGTAAAAGTGATGAATTTGGCTTATTTGGGAAAAAAGAGAGTAAAAGCAGAATTTATGTTTAAAACTCTCACCTTTGACATCTGAGCAGACCGAGCTTAGCTTTTGAAAACAAGGTTCATAATTCCAGAATCCATCGCTATATATTTGCACACAGTTCTCTATTCCTCCACTATTACTGGGCTCATAATTTGCCCAATTTGTGAACTCATTTTGATCCCTCTGCTGCGTGTCAGATGCAGAATCAGACCACTTCCAGCTGTTGACATCATTGTACAGCCCAATCCAGGCTATCTGCAAAGAGTGTTTAAAGCTCTGGATAATCCTGGCTCATCTGTTATATGCTCCCCTGTTTTAATCAAATGGTTTTAATAACCTGTGGTTTAATGTGAACATACCGAATTTTTACCCAGAGATGCCACCAAGTTGTTCAGTGTTTTCACGTCCTCCATGCTCTCCAACACTGCCAGGTTCGAGTAATTCCCTTTGCAGTAACTCTGAGCTTCAGTCCAGTTCTTCAGCTCTTCAACAAAGAAGTATTTACGCACAGGATTTGAGGCGCTGCCACAGAGCACTGCAGAGACAAACACCAGAGAACAGCAGATGTCTGGTTTTTCTGGGGACCACTAGCTTTTTATTTGAAAGTGCTGCAACAGGAAATGGATGATGAGAGAGTGAAAAACTGAGGATGGTGAATAGAGCTACTACTGCAGCCGTAGCTCATACTCAGAGATCCGTATCTGCCTGTTAATACTGAAATTATCAGCAACAGAATCAGGCGTCTACATTAGAATCACTGCAGAAATAATGGGTGTGATGAGTGAGTGAGTTTAACATGTTTAATAACTAATGGGAAAGTTCGTCAAAGAGAGAGGGGAAAGTGGGCAAACATTCACAGTGTCTTAAAAAAAGAACAATAGAAAATGGGAATCACTCATATTTCCATTAAATTGACCCAGCTACACACAGAGTAACTTCATTAGAAGGTGATGTTACACATGGCTGTAATAAACAAGAAGTAGCATGGACCAGACATCTGAAAGGAGAGGTTTCCAGCAATCTGATGCTGTCAGGAGAAATGTGATCTCCGTTTTTTATTTTCACCAGAAGCTGAAGCCTTTTGTCTGAACATGTTGGATAACGACTGCCATGGTTTAGCTTTTCTTTATCTCTTTTTGAGGATGAAGATATAACAGAATTAAGAACTTACTCTACAAAACAAAAAAGACTAAATACTCGTACTCGTCGTCTCCCGCTTTATCCGGAACCGGATCGCGGGGGCAGCAGACTAAGCAGAGACTCCCAGACTTCCCTCTCCACTGACACCTCCTCCAGCTATGTTTGGGGAAGCCCTAGGCGCTCCCAGGCCAGTCGAGAGACATAGTCTCTCCGGTGGGACGTGCCTGGAACACCTCCCGAGGGAGGCGTCCAGGGCGCATCCGAAGAAGATGTCCGAGCCACCTCAACTGACTCCTCTCGATGTGGAGGAGAACCGACTCTACACTGAGCCTCTCCCGAATGACTGAGCTCAGCCCAGCCACCCTGCGGAGAAAGCTCATTTCAGCCGCTTGTATCCGGGATCTCGTTCTTTTGGTCATGATCCAGATTTCATCACCATAGGTGAGGGTAGGAACGTAGACCTACCGGTAAATTGAGAGCTTCGCCTTTTCGGTTTTATTTACATTTATTAAGATTAAATAAATGTAAATAAAACCACAGAAGAAAGGTTCCTGTTTCACCAACAGGGTCTGTGTGTATTCTAGTGGATGGAGAATCTAACCTCACTGGGAACAAAAAAGGTTTTACCTCCTGCTGTTCCTCTGGAGAATGACTGTTCTAATAGCACATTTAGCCCATGTTGGTTTGAAGCAGCTAAATGCTACTGATCCATCTTAATATGGTGATTAAATAATTAACAGTTCGATAACCTCCATCCACACCTTCGTCTTTAGCATACGGTAGCAGCAGCATCAATGCTAACAGGTTTGCATCATGCATCATGTCAGTCACAGACTTGCTAAAGGACTTTATTGGTTATCGTATCATAATCGCCAGCATCTTACCGCCATCCTAACCAATCAGTATATCATCTTGTTGTCCCCCCAGGTTATCCTGACCGTCTCTCTGAGGCCCTTTCAGCTTCCTGGTCTGAACCTAAAACCAAACTTCATTTGTTTCCCAGACTGAACTGAGCGGCAGAAAATCAACAAAGTGCAGAAGAGATGGAGGAAAACATGAATGCCTTCTATTCTTTGGAGTAATTGCAGTGTCCTCCGTTATTAATGGGCTAAATAAGACTAATGATCAGCACCGTGACTCATTACTAACTATGAACCAAGGACAGACAGCACTAAATGGAGATGGAACAGCCTGATTTATCAGATTCAGTTCAGTCACGTTCTGAGGCAGCTTTACAAGCAGATCACCATAAAACATCAAACTGGTTCCTACCGCTGTAACAAATGAAGGCCTTCCTTTCCCCACAGTTCCAGTCCTCCCATTTGCCAGATCTCCCAAAGTTAGCCGCTGCACATTCCTCCTTCCCGCGGCTATTTGGTTTATTGTTTTCTTTGTTCCAATTCCTAAACGTTGAGTTGTTGGCATCCGCCCACTTCCAGGTGTCTCTGTACAGGCCGATCCAGACTCTGTCTTTTGGAATGGTGTTGTTAACCTTCTGGTTCTCATCCAGGTTCCTGATGCTGGCCAGGTCTGTGTGATGCTCTCTGCAGTAGCTCAGAGCCTCCGTCCAGTTCATGTAGGTTTTGATGTGAACAAAGGAAACATTTGATCCTGAAAAACATTTGATTGGATTCAAGTAAAAACAAGAAGTTATTATCACGGTTGCTGACATGCAAACATCTAGCTCTGCTGTCCCTGATCGATGGGATGGGAGGCACACATTTTGAGCTGGTTAAGGTAGCCTGAACAATTTTACGACTTTTGATCTAAACTTGTCAATCTAGCAGGAGCATTTACAGAAACAATTGGAACCAGAGCAGGTATGGATACCCAAGCTGCCAAATTATCAACATAACACACATGATTTATAAAATATCCCACCCATGGAGAAAATATTGACTATCATGACTGGATGGCCATGAAGGGAGGCCTAAAAGCCTGCTGCTGGTTCTCAGCAGCAGGCAGAGAACCAGAGATGCTAACAGATGATGCAGAGACAGCCTGGGGCAGACAGTCAAACTGACGAGTCTGTAGACGTTACTGATAACGGCCAGCTTCTGTCTCTAGAGGAAGGACCAATTCACAGCAATGAAAGAGACGCTGAGAATGAGGCTGTCTGTCAGTTTGCCATGGTGGGAGGAGAGCAGGAGGCGGAGCCTCAGATCACACTGATGAAGACAGAGATAAAGCTCACCGGCTTCCTCGGGCATCTTCATCCCTTCAGCATCGGGAAGTCTTTGAAGCTACTCAGTGAAAGTCCAGCAAGTCATTACAGCATCACTGCCACTATGAATAACCTAATAATTTCACTTTGTCCTTAAAGGAATAGTACACCCAAAACATGATTAGCCTTCATTTTCTATTCACCCCCATGCTGAACAACACTCTGGAGTACTTTTTTGATATCTCAAATGCATCTGGAGATCTGGGAGGCTTCTTGCTGTCTGCTGACATTCAAATAATGGAGGTCTATGGTGCCCGAGACAGAAAGGTCCATAAAAGTCCACAAAAAAACGTGTCAATATTCCTCCATACTGCTCGTCCAATGTATTCCAAGTGTCCTGAGTGGGTAGCATCCAGAAATTACTCGAAACGAAGTCATTTAGAATGTTTTTAGAGCATAAACAGTAGTGTATAGGATTTCCTGAAAGCGCGCACAAGCGTTCACGACGCTATGGAAGCCGGCAGACCAAACCAGATGAAAGTGCGCATTCAGCGTCTGCTCTGCCAATAATGCAAGCGTAGAAGAAGAAATGTGCTGTTTACCTGTGCAAAGAAAGAAACAACGAAAGAAAAATGTCTGAGGACTTCAGTGTTGAGGAAGAGCATGAGTTCTTTGCCGAGCTGAATGCGCTGGTTTGGTCTGCCGGCTTCCGTAGGCTCGTGAACGCGCCGGCGCGCGCTTTCAGGAAATCCTATACACTACTGTTTATGCTCTAAAAACATTCTAAATGACTTCGTTTCGAGTAAATTCTGGATGCTACCCACTCAGGACACTTGGAATACATTGGACGAGCAGTATGGAGGAATATTGACACGTTTTTTGTGGACTTTTATGGACCTTTCTGCCTCGGGCACCATAGACCTCCATTATTTGAATGTCAGCAGACAGCAAGAAGCCTCCCAGATCTCCAGATGCATTTGAGATATCAAAAAAGTACTCCAGAGTGTTGTTCAGCATGGGGGTGAGTAGAAAATGAATGCTAATCATGTTTTGGGTGTACTATTCCTTTAATGGTTTCAAACTGGAAATAAATACATAGATAGATCATTACAAGGTTAAATAAAGTGGTTTTATTTTAGGAAGTCATTTTTTTCATTATTTAATAAATGATTTCATGTTCCTCTTCTGAAGCAACTCATGATATAAACTGTTACACATCCATCAAGGTCAGAGAGGCGGGGCCAGGGCTGCTTCAATTGAAACCTTGCCTTCCGATCGGCTGCTCCTCGCTAAGCTAGTGTATCATTTATATTTGTCTAGTTTTCCTCATATTGGCAGAATTCAGATACATGGAATTAAATATCTGCATTAAATATCTAATATATTTATCTTAAATGGGTGTCTGTTAGCTTTCCATGACTGGAATAGTAAACCTGTGAACTGCCATTTACTAGATGTAGCTGTTGGTAGCCCATCTTTAAAGATGGGTGAAAATAACCCAGAATGGTCCGGTACTGTGCAATGAACTCTCTCTAACTCTGATCTTCCAGCTGTGCTTTGAAGAAACTAACTAACTATGAGGATGAATGAAGGATAAAAGGATGAACATGTTTAATATGCAGGAAAACAGACGAGGTTTCATGCTAGGGTCAGTTAAAAGGATTAGATCTTATACGTCCTGGTTATCCTGCTTTGCTGCTTTCCCAGATATTTCTGCAGATTGATGTTAAAGAAACGATACAATTAATTAACTTGGCCAGAAGCCACTTTTATCAGTGGCAGCCATCAGCGGCTGATCAGGTTTGTCCAACTTTAGTAGGGTTTCAACACAGAGGATGATCAGACCTTCATGTGACCAAAGATTAATAAAAACCAGGAATTATTCTGCAGCTGATGAAGGAAAATCCACCAAAGCAAACAGCAAACATTATTTCTAACTCTGGAATCATCCAGCACTCACCGCTGACTTGAAGGCAGATGGTATTTTGGTCATTGGAGCAGGATTTATCAGCCCAGGATCCGTCAAAGTTCATAGCTCCACAGTACTCTTGTCCACCATAGTTGTCAGGTTCTCCAGCTGCCCAGCTCCTGAACTCGCTCTCCTGATGCTGGTAGAAGTCTGAGTCAGACACGGACCACCGCCAGGTGCTCACATCATGTTGCAACCCGATCCGGGCTTCCTGAAACCTCTATCAATGTTACGACAAAATGGGGGAGATTTGATTAAAGTTTTTATTACAGGGAGTTTATATTTGCTCTTTATCTCCACAGCCAAAGCAGGACTCTGGCCTTGGAGAAAAAGAAACAAAGTTCTGGACATCACTGCAAACTAAAAACTAACAATAAACAGGAGAACAGTCATTCAGTAGGAAAAGTTTGGGGACTTTTTGTTCCACCATGGCTCCACAGAGACATGGTCGACCTTCAGGAGTTTATCTTCTCTCTCATTATTACCATCAGGGAGAAATGCAAATACCTACTATGTTTTTTCCCATAGATGCTGCCATGTCATTCAGAGTCCTCATGTCCTCCATGTCCTCTATGGTTGCCAGGTCTCTGTACTTCTGTCTGCAGTAACTCCGAGCTTCAGTCCAGTTCTTCAGCTCATCGATGATCACGTATTTATGGTCAGAGGGCTGGCAGTTTGCACTCAGGCCTGCAGTGAATAACGTACATACTGAAAATAAATAAACCAATGGTTAAAAGCTGATAACTAGAATCATAACTTACTAAAGGCAACAATGATGAGCAGAAGAACTTTCTCCATCTTTCCTGCTGCCTCAGTCTGCAGATCTGCTGTTTCACATGCTGATTAAGGCTGATGCCATGGAAATGACATGGAAATAATCTGTTGGGTGTATAGCGTACATTGTATATTTTCAGGAACTAATCCCAAAAAAACTAGAAAAAGCTGTTTCGGTTAAACAGCAAAGTGGGAATGCTTTTTTCTGCTGAAAGAAAACAGAAAAATTAGCTAAAGTAACTGCATAAATGAAAAGAAGCAGAGATTAGCTGAAGAACATATGAAAATGTGATTGGAAGAAATCAGAAACCTCAAACAGCAGAAAACTGTAGAATCATCTAAAGATTTTGTAAGAAAAAATCATTTGGCAGAATAGTGACAGAAACATACTCATCTTAAAAGCAAAACATTTAGTTAAAGTTTATTAACCAGAAGAAAAAGTCAAAAAGTAACTGTTTACCTGGAAGTTGACAGAACCAAAGCATCTACTTACAAGGTTAGCAGATGGTTTATTACAGTGGAAATGTTAAAGCTTCATTAAGAAATGTGCACTTAGGTGTGTTGTCAACAGGCCTTGGTAGTGTAATTTGAAGAAATTGGTTCAGTTTGGGTCATAGCTTCAAACCATACGGCACAATGAATGAGAATGAGAATGCAAAAAGAAGAAGCTTTTATTTTGTAGAGTCCATCCATCTATCCATCCATCTTCTTCCGCTTATCCAGGGTCGGGTTGCGGGGGTAGCAGCTTCAGTAGGGAGGCCCAGATGTCCCTCTCCCCAGCCACTTGGGCCAGTTCCTCCCGAGGAATCCCAAGGCGCTCCCAGGCCAGCCGAGAAACATAGTCCATCCAGTGTGTCCTGGGTCTCTCCGTGGGCCTCCTCCCGGTGGGACATGCCTGGAACACCTCACCAGGGAGATGTCCAGGAGGCATCTGTTGGGTTTAAATCCAGAGAAATGTGAGTTTAAGAGTTTAAGAGGACGAAATGATCAAACACAGACAGGGATTTGCAAACGTCAGCCTCTGCTGGCTCACAACCAGCACCTTTTCTCACTGTTCCCTTCACAGCAAAGCCTTTTATTAACAGTTTACAACATAATAGGGCGGGTCTTAAACAGAAAACCCTGTAATGATTATCTGGCAGGATGCAGGTCATAAGACAGTGTGACTCTGCCTTATGACCTACTGGCCGGAGGCAGGTCATAAAGGAAATGACCCTGAAATGACAATCTGGCTGGATGCAAGTCACACAACAGTGTGACTCTGCCTCATGACCTACTGGATGCAGGTCATAAAAGTTTATGACCCTCCTGATTGAATCACAGGACAGAAATGTAGCATCTTATTTCCTCAATGTTTCATATGCCCACACATTAATTTTATAATTGTAACCCTAACATTTCCCCCCTGTTATACATGAAAAACATCAGCATATAGCACTTCTAAAAAGATTTTCACTACATACATCATGAATGCATTGCAGATAGGGAATTCAGTAATCAAAGTTTAATATGCAAAACACAACAATATTAAAAGGAAAATTCAAGCACAAAGGTAAAATTTATTAAGAATGTAAAAAGTTTAAAAAATCTGTCCCTTGAGTAGGCAAAAACGCTCCAATAGAAAAAAATTCCTACTCGACCCCTCCCTAAGAGGCGATCATTATCCCTGTATAAGATTACACAGCTTCATCATCATCATTATCTTCATCACCATCTCGGCGGAGTTGAGCATAAGTGATAGCTGAATACTGGATTAGAGTGGATCCTATCATTTTCTGAATCATTGATTGCAGGCATGGTATTAAGCAACAAATAAAAAGGAAAAATATGATTAACAATCCTATAAATGGTAAAGCTATCTTCATCAGTACCTGCCACCATGATCCCATGGTGAACCAAACTGTCCATGGTGCTGGACCTGCACCGGAAGTGTGACGGTTAACATACCTCTTTAGATCTTTCAACTCATCCAGAGCAATCTGTATTTTTTCATCATTAGTGTTATTAGTTATATAAGTACAACATGTCTGGCCAATAATGGTACACACCCCCTTGGGAGGCTGTCAGCAGATCCATTACCATTCTGTGTTGAATGAGGGTTTGCTTAAAATGGCTGAATTCCTGTTTTATTGCTAGTCCTAAATCCTCAGTGGCCTTTATTAGTCTCATCAGGGCATATCTGTTGATTTCAACATGGTCTCGAACCTCTCCAATCCCCACCCATGGAAAAATACCTTGCAGGACTTTAGGTCCCCACCCCCATATCCTAAATTCCATGGGGAATCCTGTGTCTGTGGTCACACCCCAGTGTGATGCTGGGAAATAGATTCCTGTGTCTTTTTCAGCTTCCCTTCTTTGTAGGTGGGAATGATAGGGGTGTTGCTCAACTTTTTCCATATATCCATTTATATATGGGCAGAAAGAATAAGTAGCATTACATCTTCCTTTTGGAATAATGCCCACTGAAATGCTGCCATTACTTTCTACACACACAGGAAATATTTCGCTTACTATCATGGCGTGTGTGGAAATTGGGATTGAAACCTGTGGTAACACTGTGGCATCCTTATCTGCAATACATGGCAGGCCCAATAAAGGACTAGTTGAATTCTTTAGTGGCTGTGAGAAATTCGCTTTAGAATGAATAACACCGATTCCTGGATGAGTTGAAAGAGCCATTAGGCAGTAAGTTTGACGTTCAGACATATTGTATGCATAGACAGTCGGAATGGTAGAAGTAGGCATATGAGTACAACATAACAGTCTGTTTTGTTCAAATCTTCAGCAACATGTTTGGCATGTTGCCACCACATATTGGCACCGTATGGATGACTTGCTGTGGATCCATCAAAAATCATCCTGTTCTTCCTTTGTTTCAGACAGTCAGTTTGAGTCCCTAGGAACACCAGTCCAACGGTAACCACCAGGCAGCAGAACGTCTTTAGTTTTCCCATCTTCACCAGCTCCTCCAATAAAGCACCTATTAACTAGGACTCTAAAGGGCTGGGTTAGTTTGTTTTCTTCACCAGCGTTGAGACGAGTGGTCCTAAAAAACCAAACCCCTTTGAAGCTGGACTTCCTGTGAACGTAACTGGGCTTCTCGCTGTGGAAAGTTTTTAATTAGCTTACAATAACTCTGGTGGATCCATGTGTCTCTTTCCTGGATTTTGACGGCGGTGGGGGTTGGTAGTTGCACTATGTAGGGTCCTTCCCACCTCGGAGCTTTCCAATTTTTCCTTTTGATGATTTTAATCAGCACTTGGTCTCCAGGCTTCAGGCCTTCCTGTGGGGAAACAAAAGGAGCACTAGGCAGATTACATGTTTTCCGAACAGTTTTGTCGCTGAACAGCTTCAGCATCCACTTAGTTAGCGGGTCAATGTCCTCTTGTTCTTTTTCTGCCCATGGCTGTCCTTCCCATAATGGTAGAACAAAAGGTCTCCCATTCACTATTTCAAAAGGGGTCAAACCATCAGATGTTGGAATAATCCTCATGAGTAATTTTACCAAGTGCAAACACTCTGGCCATGGCTTTCCTGTTTCTGCCATGAATTTTCTCAATCTGTTCTTAACCTCTCCATTCGCTCGTTCCACCAATCCTGCACTCTGTGGATGGTAGGAACAGTGATGTTTCAAAGTTATGTTTAAATGTTTGGACATCAGTGATACCAGTTCATTCACAAAATGTGCTCCATTATCACTTTGTAAGATTTTTGGGATACCATGCTCAGGTATGATATGTCTACACAAAGCTTTTGCTACTGTCAGTGCATTGGCATGTTTTGTGGAAACAATTTCTACCCGTTTAGAAAAATGGTCCACTAGGACTAGGCATTACTTGTATTGTCCACTTGGGGTCAGCTCAATGTAGTCCATGCTAATCACTTCAAACGGAGCTGTACCTCTTGGTGCCTGTCCTCGCTTAGGTCTCTGATTTCCTTGTGGATTGTATTTACAACATGTGAGACATGCTCTGCAGTAATGTCTAAAGTAATTATTTAAACCTGCAGTGGGATAAAATACTTTTTGTACTATACTCATCATCCCTCCCGTTGAGACATGGCCCGGACCATGACATCATCACTGCAGCTGTTCTAAACAGGCTTCGTGGCAAAACTGGTCTATCCCCTATTATAACTAGGCCATCAGACTTTGTAACCGCTCCTTCCCTTTTCCATTGTTCTTTTTCAGGTGTAGGAGCGTTTTTCTGCATATCTATAAGAATTTCTGTAGGAATTATTGTGCATTCATTTGACACATCTGCATTAGTCAGAAAAATTTGTGCTCTAGCAGCTGCTTTTGCTGCAGCATCTGCCTTCCTGTTTCTTCTGCTTATCACATCTTGGCTATCGGTATGTGCTTTACATTTGCATATGGCTATGGCCCGTGGCAACATCACAGGTTTTAACAAGGTTTTTTAACAAATCTGCATGCTCAACCCTTTTCCCCGCACTGGTAACCATGCCCCTACGCTCCCATTGTGCAGCAAAATTATGAACTGTGGAAAAAGCATACTGACTGTCTGTAAAAATATTTACATCTTGGCCTTTTGACATTTCACATGCTTTCGTTAATGCAACAATTTCTGCAGCTTGCGCAGAATATAATGATTTTAAAGCAGCACTGTTAAGAGTTTCTTGATCATTTACAATTGCAAAACCGACTAAATTTTTTCCTCCTTCTGATTTGGAAGCTGACCCAAATTTTTATAACCCTCCTGCGGTTCATCTTTTAAATCTGAACGCGGCTTGCAACTCATAGTTGTTCTTTCAACACATTGGTGAGGATCACCATCTTCTGGTGTGGGCAGCAAGGTTGAGGGATTTAAAGAATTACATCTCTGATGCATGAGGTGAGGCTGAGACAGCAAAGTGGTCCTAATGTTTAGATGTCTGGCTGGAGACATAAAAGTCATTTTTGCTGATGTGACCAACAGTTCCAATGCATGAGGTATTAACAAGGTCAGTGGATGATACAAGACAATTTCAGATTTGCTCTGCACAGCTAGAGCAGCAGCACAAACTGATCTTACGCAGTGTGGTAGGGCAACTGCAACTGGATCTAATCTTTGAGAATGAAATACCACTGGCCT